TAAACTTCAGCCAAGTCTCTGAGGAGTTACTTTGTTAAGCAAGGGTTTCATGACTATTTTCATTTACAACTTTACTGATAATTCTACATGACACTGTGAAATCTACACATAGGTACTGATAATTTACTGATAATTCCACATGACAGAGTGAATCAGTCAAGTATCAAGAGTTTTAACTGTGTTTTCATGACTGAGGTAGCATTAACAATGAAGGTAATAAAGCTCAGCACAGCTGCTGCTGGACTGTACTGAGCTGAAGAACTTAGCAATAGCATTGAATAAGCTCCTTGTTGTACAATAGTTGCACTTCCCAGAAAAATTCACAAGTAATTTTTATAACAGAGGCCATGACTGCACAATGTTATACATTTTGTATCTTCTAGTAGTTTTGATGCCAAGTCACTGGAAAGGTAGAAGAGAACTTCATGGATTTATTACTGAGTGAAATGCCATTCAAATAATTCACTGAAAACCAAAACGGAGGTCCAAGCATAGAACAACATTCATGATTAGCCTGTTTCCTGGTAAAGGGGATCAGCTACTGTAGCAGTCCGCAGACCATACCTTGACTGTGATTTATATCGACTTTTGGCAAGTGAGAAAACAGAGCCCCTGAGACCTTTCACTGAATTACTGTGGTCCAACCACATGCACTTTCCTGCCCAGGATCATAACTCAGTAAGTTCATCACAGTCTGATAGAAACACTTTAGCCTCACAGGTATTATACAAATGTGCAAAACTCGTGAATGCACCTAAGGAGGAACTATAGCAGTATCAGCTGTGTTTGGGAAGTGGGAGAGGTTCCCAAAAGCTTCCAGAATACCTGCACATCATAATTTATTCACCTGTGTTTTTAAGCCAAACGTGAGGGAGTAGACTTAAGCATGGCTGAGCAGTTCATTAGCAGTCCAAGTGTGAGGTGTCGCCACCCAAACCAGGGGAAGCCTCTCAGTGGGAAGATTACAAAAAGGCAAAAAAAGGGTGGGCGGCCGGTACTATGTCAGACAAAGAAGGTAACAAACCCGTCACAGGTACACGCTCCGGGAATCCCAGGCCAAAGCCGCTCTGGAAGGCTCTCTTAATTCTCTCCTGCCCCCCACCACCTGCCCAGGCGCTCTGTCCTCCTTCTGAAGGGCCATGGACCTCCCTGACACGGCCTATCACGGGCCCCCTTGCATCTTCACTAGAGGAACAAGTCAGAGTTACAAAATGGAAACAACCTTGGAACCAGGGGTGGTGTGAAGTGTAAGGCGATGTGCCGTGCAGTCTACTTTATTACCGCTGAAGGAAAACCCTAACCAGGCCTTGCGAGTGCCCCCATGGGCCCACAGCTTCTGATCCCAAGGAGAACAGTTTCACTTCTGTCAGTTCCTGCTGCTGCAAACCTTGCTCGCTCGAGTCCTTCCCCCACTTCTGTCTCGCTTTGTCATTCAGCGATGCTTCCTACGTCAAGGACCACACAGCCCCAGCTGGGCGTCCTACCTCCCTGTCTTCTCACCCGAAGACAGCCTCGGCGTTTCCTGGGGAAGTGGGCCGCGCAGGCTGATTTCCCGCCGCGGTGGGACTGCTCGCAGGGGCCCCCTCTGCGCTGCTTTCGGTGAGGCTTCTTGCACGGTGCTCCCCGCCCAGCACGGAGGGGAGGCTTACAAATCCTTTGTGGCGAGAAATGGGACTTCTTGAGGAACAATAGTTAGGCCAGTTATGAAATAAGTCCACTAAATCTTAAAAAAAATCCCCCCCACTCCCGCACACGTAGTGGTTAGTATTATGTACCAGCTTCTGCGAACCGGAAGTCTGTGGGTATTTCATCTTCACCACAACCCCATGCGGATCATTGTTTGCATTTAAGGATAATAAAGACCTTGCGGAATAGTTTTCCAAAGCCCCACAGAATTTGCTTTACCAGGAAGGGGAAAGGCTGAGAGTAAAATCCAGGTTTTTTTTTTTAACCTCAAAGATCTTGTCCTTTTAGCACAGTATGTTCTAAGCCGGCTGTAAAAGGAAAAGGACCCTTCTGCTGCTGATCGAAGGCGTGTTTCAGGTTTAATTCTAGCAGGCCACTAGCATGCTGTAGTAGGATGCCTTCTCCGCCTCTCACCCACGCCCGTACCACGTGCACAGAGAGTGCAGAAGGGACACTGCACTTGCCAGCTACACGCTTCTGCTCCCAAGACGATGGCTGCGGGGCGCTGGAGGCTGAGACACCATGGGATCACAGACCTAGATCCCCCCCTCTCCAAACCCACCCCTGCGTAACCACCTTGTATGTCCATATTTCCCTCTTTTATCCACACCTAAATATACACATAAGTAGGTGATACAGGACATACTTCAGGTATGTGACATGTTTTCAACTTCATTGTACATAATTTCTCCATAAACTGTACCCACTAAAGTATAACGCATGAACTCTTACAGTTGTGTCCAGATGAGAAACAGACTCAGAACACTTCCACTGCTGCACAGTAGCTTTCTTAACAGCATTTTATATTTTGTGTGTCACTCCTCTGTGTGTCACTTCTACATGACCGCCTACCACTCAAAACATTGTAGACATTCGTTAAGCTGAATACGCCTCAAACACATTCTTTATAATAGCCAAACACAAGTCCACTTTTATCGATGCTATACTTTATCTACTCCCCTACTGGACTGTTTCCATTTTTTTGGCCACCACTTTTGCTGTTATAATCAAGGTAAGGGGATTTGTCATTCACTGGCCTGGTGTGTCTGACAAACCCACGGGCCTGACATTCTCTAATATGACTTTGATGTGCATGTGTGCATATGATCCTGTCTTAATTTGATAAATTATACTAATCAAAATCGCCACCCAGAAACTTACCATTTGTGCCTTATGCTTGTGCTATGCAGCTAGTTGTTTTTCTAGTTAGTTTAGTGTGCCTAACATCGGATGGCTTTCTATTTACAGAAATGAGTTACTAAGTCATTCAGCCTCAGCATTTGCATGAAAAATGGAACAAACTGATGCTTTATAAAATGGAGTCACTCATGGCAAGGCACGGCCAGGAAGCTACTATTCTATACAATGTGGTATAACTCATAGTGAGGCACAGCCAACTCCACTCTTCAGAGAAAACAAAGTCCTACTGACACCTTGATTTTTGTATGACTGGAACTTCCAGATTCGTGAAAGAATAACTTTCTGTTATTTAAACCCATTCATTTTGTGGTACTGTACTTTGGTATAACAGCTCTAGAAAAATCAACACACTACTGTACTCTTTAAAAGAAAAAATGCTATTTATTGAAAGGATATAATGATATGTCATAAAGATGCTAAAGAGCTTGACAGTGATTCACAAGTTCCTTCATTAGATATTGAATTATATAAATGACAAGACTGTTTAGACTAAGGAACTAACCTGAACTGGTCTGGCCTATTGGGCCTCTGCCTGCACAAATTAGAAGTTACTTCCCCATGCCAGGGTGTAAATTTTCAGTGTAACCATACTAGGAAACCAAGGGCATTTTACTGACGGGAAGCCAAGGACATACAAGTGGTTAAACGATTATAAATATATTCTGAGGAAGCTTTTAAAAAAAAAATCCAAAACGTTATGTAAGTGTAACGCACCTAGACCTGTGCAGCATATTAAACAACATTCTGGAGTGGATGATGCTTATGTGGTCTTTACCTGTTTGATACCAAGTCTTAATAAAAATCAGTTGAGGTTATAGGTACATATCCTTACCAATACCTGAAGGAATTCAATCTAAGATATTATGAAAAGAGAGTTGAGAATACCTAACTCTACCCTATGGAAAATACTTGTAAACATATAAAGCCCCCTGCCTCCATCCCAGTAAACTCATGAAGTTAATAGGAGGGAAATCTGAGACCTCCCCCTGATAAAGAGTTGGATCCCATAGGGGAGCAGTCATGGAGCAATTTGGTGGGAGCTTCATGGAACAATTTGGTGGGAGCTTCATGGAACAATTCTAAGCTATTTCTTGAGTCTACAGGAGGACAGAGAAAGGGAAAATAATTTGTGGTTAAAAGGACAGAGCAAGTTTTACCCCATTAGGAATTTCTGCTCAAGCATATGTGGAAGGGGACACAGCTTCTTTCATAAAGAGTTCTTGCTTCTGTTGTTTTAAACACTAGAAATGGGCGTTTTGGGGTGAACAAAAATGGTCAATATCATAAGGTTTGACCTTAACCCTTCTTTCTAGAACTTTCTGGGAACTTTTCATCTTCGTTCCTTTTGGTGAAAAAACTAATTTCTAGAACTTTCTGGGAACTTTTCTTCTTTGCTCCTTTTGGTGAAAAAACTAATTTCCAAATTGAGCCCAAAGTAGAAAGAATTCATCCAGCATGCATAACACTACCAAACAGGTCCTTGCGCTTGGGAGTTTAACTCCTCTTTCTTGTCAGGCCTTGTGGTGGGGTTATATTAATAGAACTCAACAACTGTTAACTCTAGGACTGAAGATCTTTAAATCAAACCCAGGTGATGGCACTGTTTTATAGTTTTTCTAACTTGCATATGATTTTAATATGAATTATTAGTTTGCTGTATTATTTTCATTAAAATGCCCCTTCTGTTTTAAAATGCTTTTCTCGTAAGCCACACAGGGATTGAACCCAGGCTCTTACACGTGCTAAGCTATCTCTGAGCTACATCCTCAGCCATTTCTCACATTTCTGAGACGGGGTTTTACCAAATTCCCCAAGCTGCCATCAAACGCGATTTTTTCTGACTCGGCTGCCCACGCAGCTGGGACTGTAGGCATGCTCCTCTGTGCCTGGGTAGGAGAAGAGCCTTTGTTTTCCCTTAGCTTTTCTTCAACTAGAGCAAGCTTGAACAGGCACTCCCCGCCCACGGGAGTGCTCCACAGATGGACAGACAAGCGAAGCACCATCCAGTGCCTCACATGTCTGGGTGCCCAGACCAGCCTAATCCTGTAATGCGCAGTTGCACTGACCCTGTTTGTTAGGGGAAATAAAACATCACACGAATAGCATGTGATTGATGCAGTTGTTTTTATTATTTCTGCCTTCATAGCAAAAAAACATTGATTTGCAGTAGAAAGAATGCAGGTGCCTGGACTCTGAAAGGATGGAAATCACGAGGACGAATACCATCCAAGACACCTGCAGGAGAACTGCTTACGTCATATTTATTGATAACGTTCAGCTGGCCCCTCAACTTGGCATCAGTGCCTGACCTGCTTTACATGGTCACTTTAAAGAAAACCATGTCTATTCTCAGGGACTCTCCGCAGGCCAATCTACCTTCTCCCTGCTGCTTTCCTGAAGGCAAAGATTCGCAGCATCCGCAGCAATGATCTTTCAGGAAGCTTCAGCACATGGTCCTCCAGGGCACGGCGCCCGCCAAGACTTCTCCAGCCGAGAAAGCAAAAGCCATGAAAAGAGTTTGGTGGGAGGTGACAGAATAATTTAGTGGACTTTCTTCTAACACATAGGATAAATGTTCTGACAAAAGAACCAAGCTCCTCTGAAAACAAAATGAACATTGTAAAAGGCAAGGCCAAAAGACAGAGCCAAAAAGTTAATGCTAAAATGCTGAGAAGGTAAACCCGATGCCAGCTGGTTGTGCTGAATTACCCTCCTTCATGAAGCATTGTCTCTTCCTATTTTAATTAAATACTCTTCCAGTCTTTTCCAACTCCAGAGTACAGCAAAAAGTGGTCATCATGCTCTATGTGTCTTTGCTGTGTTGTATTCCATGATTATAGGGGAACTTTATTTAAGATTTATACAGAGCATGTTAAAGAATATTGGCTTTTTAACTTCAGTGGACAACACAATGTAATAAAAGCCTTAGTACATATAAAATATTCTCCAAAACAAATCCAGAAAATACATATAAAAATACTCAAAGCCTCTTTTGATTAAAATTAATTTTCATTTTCATTTTTTAAAAATTCAACTTTCTCCAAGGATGAAAACTCAGTGTAATTTCTCACAAATAACATTGATCTTAGCATGAAAAAGATCCTAGAAAAATTAGAAATGATCTTTATAGTGGTAGAATTAAATAATGTGCCCAATAAACGTCTTCCAAAGCTGTATGACCCTTATTTTGGCATCTTATCAAGTCTCTGAACCCTTCCAACGGCAGTGAATTGGATATTTCAACAAAATAAATTTTACCTCTTAGTCTGTTAGCTTTGGTAGGTGCTTTGGTTAGATCCCTCCCACAGAGCGTGACATCAGATTCAGTTGGAACTGTACATGGCAGACAGCACACCACCCTCCCTACTGGGTTTTTTTAACTCAGGGTACTGAAACCAAGCATACCCCAGCTCTGGTGGTTAGTGCTTACACAGAGGGATAAATGCATGTGACTCACAATAACTGAATTTTACAACACAGCACAAGTTTATGTCACTGGTGTCATTCCAGAGATTGGCGAATAGCATTTGGACGTTCTTCTCAAACTTGATATTCATTTGTTTTAGTATTGCTATTTATTGGAGTCAATGCTGGAGTTAATAAAAAAGCTATTGGAGATAGTTAAAAACTGACCTCTACAAGAGACTTGGGCCAGAAAAACGTTAGGGTTTGACTGGAATTCTTAAAGTTTGCATATGAAGTTGTAGACTATCCGCTAGTAGTTGGAGAATGATATTTAAACTTCCTGCTCTCTTTGAAGTAAAAAATCCTGGACTATCTTTTATTTATTCACACTGGATCTCTTAGAACAGAACAGAGCGCCACACCACGTAGCATCAGTAAGGATCTGTTTGAGCGGCGTGACGGAAACGTATTTGCCCACAGAACCCCATAATAAAACCTTTCTACATTCTGTCATTAAATCAGGGGTGGTGTGAGCACTTACAGACAGGAGGACAGCGGGGAGGGGCTCTGAGGAGGGGCTCTGAGACTACGGGAAGGACCAAAGGCGCTACCAGAAATGCCTGTGGGAAGCGAGAGAATTACCTCACACACTTTGCCGCACGACCAGCAGCAGGTGTCTCTGGAGGCTTCTACTACTGCCAGCACACGGGTCCCTTTTGAGTTTGGTACTTCAGACACCCCGTTCCTGCCTGCGTTGTCTTCAGGTGAGAGCAAAACACAAATCTGTTATAGCACCTAAGGGTAATTAAAGCAAGGACTGAGACCTCTTTAGAAACAGGGTTATGTCTTCTTGCCAGGAAATGCACATATGGACAGACCCCCATGTCATCTAATCCCAGGAAGGTTGATAGATTTCCAAACCCTCAGGTTAAAAATTCCTTTCGGTAGGGAAACTGTTGCAGGGGTGATTTGGTGGTAATCATTTCCAGCTGGGGAACCCCATCGTGAGAAGCCAAAAGGTGACTCAATCACTCACTCTCTGCTGAGTGAGGGAAACAAGAAAGACCTGTCCTATCCGCCCTTTGACAAGGGAGAAACCTATTCACATCATCCTCCCTCGGAAGTCCTGGGCCCGAGAGGAACTGCGCAGCTGGTGAGGATTTCTCCTCCTACCTCCTTTTACCAATATTCTAATAAACTCTTGTCACTAAAGGTGGCCTTGTAGGACTCCTCCTTGTGACACTGAGGAGCCCAGCTATTTCAAGTGTTGAATTTAAGAAGCTTCCTCCTCCCCCTCGGGTCACCAGCAGGCTGTGAGGAAGCTGGCCTCTCCTCTCCACCTCCTCCCAGTGGCTTCACAGCAGAGATGGGACCAGCCCACATTTTATCCTAGGCACTAATCTCCTTGATTGCAAAAACCTCCTCATAGTGTAGACATGGAAGTGCATAGTTTCTGGGTAATTGAACTGAAGTGAGTAATCTGGTAACTTGGAAAACAAGCACTAACAAAGATTGCCCAATACAAGGGAGGGTGGGGAATCTCGACTAGAACTCAGAGAGGATCCTGGCGTTTTCCAGCTTTTTCTATACAGAGCAGCAAGGAAACTTTTAGAGCTTTCAATGATACAAACAGCCTGTAGTGGCACTCGTGCCATAAGGTCGCCACCAGTGTTTCTGAAAAATATATTTGTCAAGATGCGTCACAAAGTCATTCAAATCACAGAAACAGAAAGATCTTGGAGGTCTATGTAATTAAACATCATATCTAAGTGTATTCAGGACCCCAGCCCTCACAAGCACCATGCCCGCCCTTGCGTCAAGTGGAGATACATTTCCGGTATATATGATTAAGATGGAATAAGGATGTTTATGATTCAGATCAAGGTTCAAGCCAACAAGCAGATCCAATAATGAGGTCTTGAGGAGGATAGTCTTGGAAATGGTTAATCATTTTTCCAGGATGAGATATCTTAAGGCAGGGGATTAAGACAGGACTCTCTCATTTCTCACTATTAAATTTGATCATTTTGTGGAAAGTTTCAAAAAAGGGTTAAGGGAAGGCTAAGAAGTTTTCTGAACTACACGGTGGAGAAATACTGTCTGAAAAATATGTTCTCTGAAAAGTGATGTTAAATAATTTGAACTTAGGTAGAAACTCTGTTTGGAGTTGTTTGCTCACCAACACACATAACAGCAGTAACAATGGCAAGAAGCCCAGCATTCCAAGCTAGGCCTCTACACATCCTCAAACCAGAACCCATCTCCTAACCCTCCCATACCCGCCCCCACCTGGTGTTATGCTCAGTGGCATTGCCCTCTCAGCAAAATATCCTGTATCTTCAAGCACATGGCTGATTCTCTTTCATCACATCATTTTTTTGTTTGTTTTTGTCTTTTTGAGACAAGGTCTTGCTGTGCAGTTCAGGCTGGGCTTGAGCTCACTTTGTAGCCCAGGCTTGTCTCAAACTCACAGTGATCCTCCTGCCTCAGCCTCCCAAGTGCTGGGATTACAGGCCTGTGCCACCACACCCAGCTTCACATCATTCTAATGAAAACCTGACTTTCAAAGATGTTTTCCTGGGGTCCTCTAAAGTGGGCTGCTTTTTTCCCCACACATCTTGTGCTACCAGATCTGAGGTAGATGGTAAGGCCCTCCTTGCTGCTTATGGTCACTTCCACACATAACTCCCTTTTACAGGTTTTGTCTGGGTGTCCCCCCAAAGCCAGATGCAGACATGGGGCAGGCTTCTAGAGTTTATGATTGATCCATGGTCCAATGCTGGAATTATGGTGTGAGTGCTACACCCACCCTGGGGCAGGTAGTTTGCATACAATATAAGGGAGGGAAAGAGGCTTGCTCTCTGCCACTCCTCCCTTTTGCTCTTGTTGCTTTTGCTGTTTTCTGCCACCATGTACTGTTGCCCTCTGCCATGTGCCACTCTGCCTTGGAGCCAGCCGAGTATGGACTGAAATCTCCACAAACTGTGAGCTAAATAAACCTTTCCTTCCTCAATTTTGGGTGTCAGGTATTTTGTCTCAGCAATGACAGAAAAGTAACCAAGACACCCGCCCCCCGTCCCTCTGAAGTTCTGATGTCAGACCCCACCATGGACTACATTAGCTCTCCTCTTTGCAGTTATGCTATACAGAGTTTGGCATTACTTTCATTTGTTGATGATTTTATCTCCAGGTTCACTGTTACCCACACCTGGTGATTTTAATACTGATGTAACTGAACACACTGACTCCTCAGTTTATCAATATTTTCTCTTCCATTGTATGGCAGCTTCTCCACTCCCACTCATGCCCTGACACTCTCATTACTAATGTCGGCTTCCCCACCACAGTCTCAAGCATTTTATTTTCCAATCTCCTCTCACCTGGCATCCCAACTTCAAAAACCAATGAGCCCCCTGACATAAACTCATGATCCACTGCACTACCCACCTTTTAAATATTTCCCTCTGAGGGCCAGGATGGGGCTCAGTGGTATGTGTCGAGCATGTTTGGAGACCTGGGTTTGATTCCCCTGCATTGGGGAAAAAACGTGTGCTCAGGATTTCCCGCCTATCCCACTTCCTAATTCCTTACCCAGTTTATATTACATGATCACAACTACACTCATTCCTCTGCATCCCTCCTCAGCGCCTGCTGCTTTCACTGTTGCACTTGTAACACTGCGCCTGTGTAGCTGAAGACGGCCGAATACCACGAAAACGCTCAGCAGTCTCTTCAGACACACGGGCTCTGCTGCAGGTGGGTCCCTGCATACTCTCTGGCTATCTTTCTGCCTCTCTCGTCTACTCATTCCCCTCTTATTCCAAAGCTCCCCACATCGTGTGCGGAACAGAAGCAGGACGCCAGAAGAGAATATGCTTTTACCATCCGGACGCACGGGAAGAACCTGCAGCTGCGAGTCTAGTCACCTGCGTCCCGTGCAGCGTCACTGGGTGGTGTAGGCACCAGCTGCACGTTTCAGATTGTTATTGCCACGTTCAGTGAACTGAATGGGACAACTGGTGAATGTCAAAGATTGACATTTATTTAGGGGAAAAATAAAAAATGGAAAAGAGATACAAAAGAACTGCTGAACAACTACTTTGGAAATAGCAATATGCAATATAATTACCATTGTTAATTTCCTATCATCGTGTTTTCAAATTCTGTGTAGCTATTGTTTTTCAAATTCTCTTTAAAATAAGAAAAAAGAAGTACTCAAGAAGAAAAAGCGCTAGGGAGGAAAATAAGAGGAGATACGCTGGGAAAGTAGAACAGACCTCTGTAAGTTCAACAGGGCAGTACAGCGAAGTCACCCGCTGCTGTCTTGTTATGTCTCTTCAATATCTGATCCATGTGGTCTGCTGGGTCTCGTGCTAGAAGACTGGAATCAGGTGCTGGGCTCTGCTTGTTCTTGTGTCAGAAGATTGATACTGGCTTCAGGGCTTGGCTTGATCTCTTTTCAGGTTCAGAAGCTGCTGCTCTGAACCCATAGTTAACAAGTCTCTTCAGCTGGCAGATTGTGCCCAATCGCTCCAGCCATGTTGCCATGCCCTAGTCTCCTTCACCAAATTCCCTAAGTGCCACCCAAATGCTGTGTGTGTGTGTGTGTGTGTGTGATGACTTTAAATGTTGGAGAGAACTGCCTTAGTTGACAGTTCATACTTCTTTCCCTTTAAATCCCATTTCCTCTTCTATTCTTACCTGATAACTTTCTACTTATTTTACAAATAATTGAGTGTATTGAAGGAGAATTTTAAATAAAGTGCATCTCTTTTCAGAAAAAAATCAGTTGCCTATCCCTATGTGTGCTAACATGTCTTTTCTCCTGTTCCTATGAATAACCGTCCATCTCCTCCAAACTAAAAGTTATCCCTCCTTTCTGGTCTGTATGTCCCTTCCCTCTCACCTCAAGGTATTCTGGGGCAGTTTTCAACTATCACTGAGCTACACCGACTCCCCCTGCCCCGTAATTATCCTCATATCCACTACACTAGTACTATGTTATTTCTCCCACCTTCAAAACAAATTTTACTAGATCTCACTTTCCCATCCACGGACTACCCATTTCTCTTTCAGATGAAACTCATGAAGATCCACACACAGTCTCTTAATTCCTTCAATATTATGAATCCCATTACAGTGTTCTTACAGAAATAACCAGTGACACTTAGATTGCTAGTATTCCTCAGCATTTGACTAAGTTGATCGCCTCCTGATTCTTGAAATTCTCTCTGAATTGTCCTTCTCCACGGTCAACAGTCTCCATCTCCTTTTGCTTCGAAGTCAGATGTCTCAGGCCCTCGCTCCTGCTCTTGCATACCCACTCACACTCTAGGTCATTGATGGTGAACCTTTTAGAGGCCAAGTGCCCAATCAGCCTCCCCAAACCCACCTATGTATCGTAAAGGGCCGACCCTGAAATTAATCTGAGGACTGAGGTTTTAGTTTAGAATAAACAACTGTCATCCGATGCTCGGCTGCTGGGGTGACTTGGGTCACGTGCCGACAGGGCACTTTGGTGCCCACTGCAGCATGGTTGCCGCAGGTTTGCCGCCTCTCCTCTAGGTCGTGTAATCTAGGCGTTTTAGTGACTTTTCCCATGCTGAGACAAAATACCGAACACCCAAAGCTAAAGGAGAAAAGGTTTATTTAGCTCCGTTTGTAAGAGCTTTCAGTCCATAGTCAGTGGGCTCCAAGGCAGGGCAGCAGGGGGACATGGCAGCGGACAGACAGTTCTTGGTGTGATGGCAGCAAGAAC